GTATCTTACGCATTCTTGACAAAGCATTGTGTCTAGTAAGACTCCCACTGAATTCTGCTGCCTTGCTCTCCTAGCCCCTATTCTTAGTCTCTTCACTTAGATTAAAACTAGTCTTCTGATTCTGGTACAGAACACCTCCAAAACTGGTTGGAGGAATTGCTACAGAGTCCCCACCACTAGGTCTGCTCATTCTATGTGCAGCAAACCAATTACTGACTACCAGAGTGGTGGTGGAAAGTGGGTGTTCATTGCAAAGCACAAAGCACAGGCTCCTTGAGGAGTTTCTTATAAAATGAGGAGTGGTTGGGAGGAGTACGTTCAGCTCAGGTTCAAGTCCCTGGTTTGTCTGCGGTGCTGCTGGCCTTTTGATTGGTCAATAGTATCAGGTCCTTTTGGGAACTTTAAGATGACCAAGTAGGCTCTAGTCAGTCAGGTGGTGTGCACTTCTTGCTCAGAGCCTGGAGGTCCTGGAGAGGAAACTCAAGATAAGACTAAACATCAGGTACTATCTATAGAGGAAGGAAATGATCAAACATGCTAGCTTCAGGTACACTGTAGGGCCTGCTTGACCAGTCCATTAATACAGAAAGCTACCTTTTGTAAGTGGTTTATTTGCAAAGGCAAACATGGAGTGAGGAAGCTTTAGGAGACGGAGGCTGGGAGACTGTGGGAGACTAGATCCTCACAGCAACAGAGGTACTGGAGAAGGCTTGGTTTCAGTCCTGGATATACCCCATGTATTGCTAAAACTCTTTCTCAGGTCATTCCTTTCTTGGTTGCTTTACTCTCAAACCTTTGTCTGATTGTTCTTTGTCCCTAAACTTACTCCAGGGCCCAAATGGACTCTCCTTTAGTGCCTGTTCACTGTGACCCCTTGAGGGCCTGAAGGTCACATTTTTTATTCTGCAAAACAGAATAGCAAACAAACATTACCTGCTTAGAGATCTCTATGAAAGGAGACAGGTCTTCTATCAGCACATCTTCCCCAAATTTCAATTCAGGCAGGGAATGTTTTCTTACGAAGGAATAGAACTTGTACAAAAAAATCTAAGAAAAATGAAGAAAATGAAAGCTCCATATTGTAATTTTCTTTTTTATTTACACTGACTCTCACAAAAATGAGACTTATGTTTCACATTCTAGTGGAACAACTATTTCTATATCATATTTCTTGTGGAATGATTTCTCTACAAATCTGAATATATTCCTGTTATATTTTCAATCAAAACAAGCACTTAACTTGATGTGGTTTTTCTTTACATATACATACACAGTCATTGTCAGAAAAAAAAGCTAATTATATTAAATGGAAGGTTTAGGGCATATTTCGATATGGAATTATACTATAAATTATTATTTTATCATATTTTCTCTAATCCATGACTCAAAAAACATGTTAAGGTTACCAATGTTCTTATTTTTCTTATAAAACAGGCTGAGTTGGCTGAGGCATGTCAACAAAATTATGCTAAAAACCCTGCACTTTGAGACCTCCAAGGGTAACGAAGGACAGGTGGGAATAGGGAGAGCCAGACAGGGAGAGTGGGAGGACAGGGGCTTTGCTTTTGGATGGACAGCTTGCACACGTAGTGCTGCCAAGTCGTGAAGTTTACATTTTATAAAAGCAGAGACTCACAGTGTCTGGTTTGCCCTGTTTTATTTTTCTGCTTGGAGAAGTCCAATACATGCACACGATCTCACATCATTATCATCCCCTAAAATCTCGCATTCTTCTTTCCTTTCTGATTTGGACACCAGCCTGGCTATCAGCGTAAGCACCCCTTCCAGCTTGGGGATCTTCTGCTCTCTCTCTCCCTTACCCCTGCTTAATCAGATTTCTGCTTCCAGCTCATGTCTACATTCCTGATAACTTGTGCTTTCCTCTGTATTCCCATTGCTGATATCAAAGTCTGGGTTCAAATGGTTCTTGCTGAGGACTATCTCACTAAACTCCTTGCCAAGATCTCTGACTCCAATTTCCTCCCATTCCAAACATCCCCCATGTGGCTGCTTTGTTTTTGTGATATTTCTGAATGGGAACTCTGATGTCATTTCTTTGAATGCACTCTTTCGTTTTTAGGGGACTTTTCTGGCCTCTTCCTCCACAGTGTTATCACTCTCTGCTCTCCCCTGTGTATCCTACATCCTAGCACACCAAATGCTCTCACGTTCTTGAGTAGGCACAGGTCTTTATGAGTCTAAGCTCTGCTTGTAGTCTTGGGCTTTACCTGCAAAGTTCATCTCTTACATGGTGAACCTCTTTTCTCTTTTGTATTTTCTTTATAGAGACAGACTCAGACAGAGCTCTCCCATCTGCTGGTTCACTCCCCTAAATCCTCACAGCGGATTAGTTCTGAGCCAGCAGCTCAGAACTAATCTGTAGTGTCTCACATGGATGGCTGGGACTCAAACATTGAGCTCCCACCTGCTTCTTCCCAGGGTGCTCATTAGCTATGGAGTTAAAAGCAGGGGCTGGATTTGAACCCAGCCGCTTCAATATGAACCACAGGCATCTGAAGCAGTATCTTAATGCAATATCGCATGCACACCTAAATTTCGAGACCTAATCTGAATTTCTACTCTTATTCTTGTTTGTTTCATTCTTCAAAGTTGGTTATACCTTCTGTTTTATTGCTCCTTCTTTGCAAAGATTCACACAATGTCATTTGTCAAGCTATGACAGATATTTTAAAGGATTATTATTCATTTGAAAGACAGAGAGAGGAGAGGAGAGAGGAGACCAGAGAGTAAGAGAGATATCTTACATCTGTTGGTTCACTCCCAAAACGGTTGCAATGGCCAGGGCTGGTGGGGGTGAAGTCAGGATCCAGGAGCTTTGTTTTGCTCACCCACGTGGGTAGCAGGATTCCAACTACTTGGTTCATCTTCCACTGCTTTCCCAAGAAAAATGGCAGAGAGCTGGATCAGAAGTGAGCAGCATGCCCATAAGGGATGCTGACACTGTAAGTACACCACCACAGTGTTGGACACCAGGCTTTTTGGTTTTATATTTGAAAAAATGACTTGTCTTTTACCTCAGTTAACAAAACTTTGTGCAATCTCTGTGTTAAGTCCTAATAGTACTTTTGACTATTGAATAGATGTTTTTATTTCAAGTCAAACATTTAAGTTAGCTGCAAGATATTACATCAAAATGATTTTTAAAAAAGGGCATGTCACCATGGACATAAGCTGTTTCATTTTTACCTAAGTAGGAAGGCATGGCATATTTTAGCATATAATTGGAAGTTAGTTTAGAATAGACTTGCAAATAGATTTCATAAACATTCAATTTTGTACTTTTTCTTTCTCAACCATTAGCTTTGCCTACCTTTACAAGTAGTCACAGTGGTTAGAGAGGGTAAATGAATTACCCTTCCTTGTGGGTTCTAAACAAGAGTAAATGGTCAATTTTATTTCATGTACAGTTGACTTGGAGAAGACCAGCTGGCTACAAAGTTAGCCTTCCTGCTTCACGTCTGCTTTGGACTTGGCTTGTCTTTTCAGACTTGCAATCCGTAGCATTTGGAGTAGAGGTAGTTGGTTCACAACATGGGCACAAAACTGTGGACAACCTCAGGAGCGAAGACTGGGCAGTCATATATGAGTAGCAACCCTTGACCACCTAGCCACAAAAGAAAGGACTATGGTAATAATGAAGATGGTACCTCAGGGCTTGCCAGGCCAGGCCAGGAGACTCTAACATGCCATAAACGAATGTCCTTTTCACTAGTCCTAAGAGGGTTCATTTCAATGTGATACATCGCAGCAGGAGTGCCAGAGAGAGAGGGGATAATTCTTTCCGGTTGGTGTCACAGACCAGATCAATCTCTTAAACTCAAGAATTTGGGGACCACAGACATCTTGGGTCAAGCATTTTCCATCTTCATGAATGAGGTCTTCTGATTTATAATGCCTTTGTCAAAACAGCTAGGACTCTGTTTTCTTTGATTTCAAACATCATTTAATCATGATGATGGGTAGATCAATGAATGTGTCTGACATGAAGGACATACACATTAATAACATCAAGCTGAATAATAAAGGAATTATTAGCCTGACCCTAGGTGAGACTGCCCTTCTGGGAAGAATGGCTTCCTGTGATTGACGATGGATGATGATGGACCATGATGGAGATTTTGCTGCCATTTTCTGGAGTGCCCTGGACGAGGTCATCTCAAGCCAGGTTAGTCTACAATCGCACATCTTGATAACAATAAAGAGTTGTCACCTACCTTTGTATAGTATAGACTATGAGTCCAAACAGGCCTGTGCCACCCCGGCTCAGTTCCACATACTTGCGCTCTTCTCTCACCCCATACAGCCTTGCCCTTGGAGTTATTATCCGCTTGATAACTGGAACTGACCCTAGACGATTCATTTGTTGAGTTCCCACTCCTGAATGTATTCATTCACAGTCGGATTTCTTTTAGCACTGTGATTTCAGGTCTATGGGTTGCCATTCCTTTTCCTTGCCAGACATCCACCTTCAAAACTGTCATGTGCTCAATTGGACCAGTTCTGTACATCCTATGAGGGTACTTCACAAAGCTCACAGAAAAACGAAATCAGGAGGTAAAACCACTTTAAGAAACTCATGTGTGTGTTTTCCCCTTAAACACATACTTTCATGAACTTCTGAAGACCTCTCAAATAACGGTGAAGAAGAAAGAAACCAAATGTTGAGAAAAAGTCATGATAAAAAGGCAAAAATGCAAATGAATAGGTCATCTTATTATACAGTGAGTCTGCTTTTCTTGGTAAACTGGCAAGGTCTTCTTGGAAGCAAAGTTCTTGGCTGATGCTCAGCTCTTGGTGACCTGGCAATGGTTGAGAGTCCCCTGGACCATTGTTTCGGAAACGAACATGCTCTGGACCACTTGGTTTGCAGCAGGTCTGGGATAAAGTCTCAATTTCGTGTTTCTAATAGGCTCCCAGGTGACACCAAAGATTGGGTAGCAAGAATGCAAGTTACCAAATCAAACCACCAACACGCCAAGTCATCGTAATTGATTTTATTCCACAGCATGTTGAAGGGAATGTTATTCTGAGGAAGATGTTTGGAATTAAAATAATTAAAAAAATGAAAAGTACACACATTTAGGTTTCTCTTCTTTTCATTAAATATATATCTGGCAAAAAATGTTAGACTCTTTTGTACAAAAACAAAGCAAAACAAACAAACAAACAAAAAACCTAACCCCAAACCCTTGCAGATTGTAAATACCTGTAATAATTACAACGATGTAAACTCAGATTTCGGGGCCATCCTGTGGGCCTGTGTTACAGCAGGACTCCTCAGGAGAAGGTCACACCGAACCCCTAGAGAACAACAGCCTGGCTTAGAGGCTTTTAGGTTTAGTCTATTGAAGATAGAGCATGACTACCATTTGTGCTTTCAGCTAAGAGGCTAGGAGCATGTGTGGAAATGGGAAGGCAAGTCTGTCTGGGCTGGGGCAGGGAGAAGAAACCCAAGACTAGCTAGCGGTCACGGTCACAGTGCAGACGCGAGGTGGGCCTGGGCCCCTGCAGACTATTTCTGGGAGAGCCAGCGCTGGCGAGGACTACAACGAGGTGGATGCTGCTGTTGTTCTAGGGACCAAGAGGACCATGACAAGGTCATGGTGAGGATGGAGGAGAGAGATTTAAAGACTTCTTAATCCAAATGGAACTGGGGGGTGTGAGTGGACCCTGGAGAGAAGCTTGTGGTATTTGGTCTGAACAGCTAGGTTTTATCTCTTCCAGATCTGGTCTCTGGGGTACTCCTCTTGGTTATGGAGGGCATGGTCCAGGGGCAGTCTGGAGTGACTGGCTTTCCTACTCTAGGGAGAAAGCAGGTAGTTAGGCTAGAAGGGCCCCTTTGCTCTCTTACTGGTGGTGACTTTTCTCTTGTCCTACCACTGGACTGCAGCAGTGGAAAGTGACCTAAAGCAGCGGAATCTAGAAACAAGAGTCATGGAGGTGAGCAAGACACCAGGCAGGGGCCAAAAACTGCTGGGGCCAGAGCAGAGGCTGAAGGAAGTATTGAACCTATAGCTTCCCTTGACTGAAAGAGGCTTCTGAGGCATGGGTGTGTTCTCATTCCTTTCTCCTGTTAGCTAGATTTTTCCAGTTTGGGAGGGGGCGCGTATCCAGGCCCCACCACTTCAGTTACAGTCATAGACAAAGTCGTAGTTGCTGGGCTCCTTGGGGATGGGCGGGGGAGCATCAGGGATCTGGATGTTTTCCAGGTCCAGGAGGCGGAGCTTAATCTCCATGCTGAGCAGCGTGTCCAGATCATTCCGCGTCAGGTCGCTCATCATGTCTTTCCCAAGTAGCGCATTCAACCCATCTGTCCAGATACAGTACTGGCAGGAAAGGGGAGGCAACAGAGATTGTCACTGGTGGTGATGACAGAAGCAGTGAAAACAACAAATACTCCGTGATTACTTAATGATGGGCAAGGCTCTGGGCTAAGTGCTTAGCCTACTGTCATCTTTGATATTCACATCGTATGTGTAAATTTGACACTTGCATTATTATCTCTTTTCTATAGAGCACAGAACGGAGGCTCAGAGAAATAACCCGGAAGTCTAGTAGCAAGCAGAATGGGTAGGATTTGAACCAAGGCCATCTGATTCCGGTGCTTATGTACTTGCATATCAGAGTGCGTTCCTAAACAGCCAGAGAAGTGAGTTCTTCTTGATGAGAGCACAACGTGTGTAACATGCCCCAGGGGAGTCTCACTCTCAGGCACTGGTGGGATCTGTCCCGACACTTCAAGACCAGAGGGGAGGTCACACTTGGCTCCGTGGTCCCTGTTTTAATGAGCTCATCTCTGACTGTGCTGAGCATCTAAGCAGTCTGCACGACACATACCCCACCGTGAAGCCAAAGTGCCTCTGTGCTTCTCAGCAGAGTTAGGAAAGAGCCTTCGGCTGCTCATTTGCTGGTGGTGAAATGCTTGGCTGTGCTTCTTTTTGTTTTAATTTGAAAGGTATAGCATTAGGGAGAGAGGGAGAAAGGGAAAGAGGAAAGAAGGCAGGAGGGAAGAGGGAAGAAGGGAGGGAGAAGCTCAGTGGTTTACTCCCAGCAGCTGCAAAACCAGTTCTGGTGCCTCTGGTCCTGCATTTATACAATGGAGAGAATGCTAGTTGTTTGTTTCAGAGATGAGTGAACATCCATTTAATGGTGCCCAGTGCAGAACAAGCTGGGCTAGTCGTCAGTACCTATATCCCTTATTTTACTGAAGTATACAGTTTTGGATATCCTGTGATATTATAAAACTAAATTTGTATTTGATGGGATGATTATGAAAACAGGGTGAAGTGTTAGGTACAACAGTGATCTGAAGGAATCACATGTATTCACAAGTGCCTGGTGGTCCTCTCCCTGCCTCCTACGGCATCAACAAGCAGTGGCATGAATTTGGCAGTTCCAGAGCATTTATTCCTATCTGGACTTAATGCACGCTGGGGAAACCAGCTCTACATCGATTTAAATAACATGAAAGGTTCTACTATTTAAAGTAGGTTTCCATATAGTTCTATACATCCTGAATACGGTAGTCTGTGTATAGCCACAATTTCGTTTAAAAATACAACAGCAGAGATGGTATCCATTTTGAGAAAGATGAAGACAAAGTCTTACCCTTATGCAAACTAAATGTCAAATGACACAGAATTATATTTAAGCACCATCTAAATGCAGGATTTGTATCTAATCTTTTCTCCTTCTCTGGGATGTACAATTTTATTCAAAAGCTTCAAACCAGAGCAAACCGATTGTATTGAATAACTTCTAAATGAGCTAAATCTCCTAGGGGAAAATGGGATACAAAAGTCAGATTCTATTAAAAGGTTCCCTTTCTTTCTAAAAGCTGTTTATGCAACTGCATGCAAAACAAAAACTTGAAGGGTATCATCTAAAAATAAAAATTTCAAGCATGATGCTGGGCTTGAGTTGACAAGAAAAAAAAGTGAAATCTACCACAATCGGTACTTGATTTTACAAATGCATTTTCCTAGGTTTATGCTAAATGTTTTAAATGCATGCTTCAAGAAGAGAAACAAATTACATTTATAACAAGATGTCAAAAGGCAATGGGAGCATTTTGAAAATAACATCCTACTGGCAGACAGCCTTAACCCTCTTAGAATGGCTTTCAGAAATTTGCTAGAAAATCTACCTCATCAGATGTTTTAAATAATAGAGAACTAGTTTATCTTGGAAAAATCCAGACTAAAAACTAAACAACCAAGGAAACACCCAAGCTCTGGGATATTAATTCAGCCTTTGTCTAGACCATGAACTATCATCAAGCTACTAAGAAGTTAAACCTGTTGTAACTGGAAGTTTTAAAAGAAATCTGACTTTATTCCAAATCAACAAGATGTTCCCTTTGTTCATGATTTTCTCAGGCAGGCTTTAAAAAAAAAAGACTATTTTTCTTTCTTGTTTTTCTAGAGCAAATATAGCATCTTCTCACAAATGAACCCCTCAGAGACTCTCACCTCATGCTTGTCAGGAGCGATGAAGTTCAGTTGGCAGTTGGAGTCATACAAGATGGAGAAAGCAAGTTCAAGCACCTCCTACGAGACAGCAGAAAAGCACAACACTTTAAGGGAAACTGGTACAATCATTTTTGTAGTTACGATGCTACTGGTTGAATGTGAGGCAGAGTCTGCGCCTTCCTTAGCACATAGGGGCACCAAGGAGACAGAGGCAGCTACATTCATTCCAAGGTTCACAGTAAAACTCCTGTGTACTCCAGCACACCTGAGCCACTGCATTCAGCTCTCATAACAGTCCTGAGCAGCAACTGGCTTCATCCCCCTCTTATAGGGCAAGGCTTAGTCAGTTCTATCAGTTATCCAAGACCACACAGTCTCAGAGATCTGCTATCCTCCTTTCTTCAGCATCTCCCTTCCAGAGGGACCATGCAGACAGGGGGAACTCTGACTGAGTAGCATTAAGGGATGCACTGCCTTCTGCCACAGCCCTGTGGAGTGTGAACTGTCTACAGCGGAGAAGCTATATTGGAGGTGATGAGTTTTTTTAGGGGAACCCACCATCTTCATGTCTTTCCTTTGATTTTTGACCTTCTGCAGAGCAAAGGCTACACAGAATCCAAATTTTATTTGCTCCAGGCTGCAGGTTACAAGGAAGAAGCACGAGCTCTAGGGACAGAACACCTGGGCAGCTGGCACTTTGATTTCATCAGAGCTGAATGCCTCTGTCTAGGCACTCAGTGTCATCTCCCACACATGATTTAAAATGCACTTAAATTTTATGTGCTGCGCTGAAGTTGGGCACAATGACCACTCTACTGATCCTAGCAGTCAGTAGGTAACTTCTGAATGAATAGAGTTGTAACATCTAACCACCCCCACTGGCTCCTGATCAGGAAAGAAATGGTCAGGTGTATCCACAATAGCTTTTGGTCTTGTTATAACACAAATGCTCGAGCGTACCAGCTTCTTTTATTAAGCAGCACTGATGACTATCCCCTCCCTGGCTGCAACTCATTCATATCACTATTCAACCCCTTGCCATGAAGCTTTAGTTCTTAGGTGGCCAGATCCTCCGACTCCATTCTCTGCCTCACTATGTGTCTTTGGCCAGTGGGTCTTAGCAACTGTGCCCAAAAGGAAGACGGGAAGCAAGGAGATGAGATCAATGTCTCCAGAGCTCTAATGGATTAGTCCTTGCTCGTGATAGTCAGGTGTCTGTTCCAAAATAGTCCACCATCGACTATTTTTGGCTCTCCTAGAGTTAGGCTGTGTCTATCTGACCTCCAACTGTCTCCTCATTAAGTAGGAGCAGCTTCTTCTTTAAGGCTAGCCCTTCCAATATCTCCCACTCAGACAGTCTTCTCACTCCGCCAGAAATAGAACTGAGTGAAGGACAGAATGCTGAGTCATGGGATGGGGAGCTACTTGGCAAAAATAACCCTCTCCTCTCATTTTCAATCTCTGTCTTTCCTAGCCTTCCAACTAGGCATGCCTGGTGTAGATGATGAGGTGATAAACCTACCCAAACAAAAACAATTTTTCATTCAGTTTGGCCTCTGTTTCCAAAACATGTTGTTTGTATCATTGAAAATATTTTATATCAGTATATGTGGGAAGGAGAGAGGGGGTGAGTTAGTAAGAAAGGAAGGGAGAAGAGAAAGAGGTGGGGGAAACAGAGATAAAGAGAAATATATGAATCTATCCCTGATTCACTCCCCCAGTGCCTACAATAGCCAGGGATGGGACCAGGGACTAAATCCAGGAGCCAGAACTCAATTCAAGCCTCCCACGCAGGGGGCAGGAACCAAATGATGGAAGCCATCACTGCTGTCACCTAGGATCTGCACTGCCAGGAAGCTGAAGTGAGAAGTGAGGAGGTGGGACTTAAAATAGGACATGGGTGCACAATTCTGGAGTGTTATAATTTGTAATGAAAATGGTCACGGCCTTACCAGTGAGACCACACAGTGATACCATCCTTCAAAACAAACAAAAAAGACCAATAAGGGGCCCAGGGCAATAGCCTAGTGGCTAAGGTCCTCACCTTGAATGCGCCAGGATCCCATATGGGAGTCGGTTCTAATCCTGGTGGCCCCACTTCCCATCCAGCTCCCTGCTTGTGGCCTGGGAAAGCAGTCGAGGACAGTCCAAAGCTTTGGGACTGTGCACCCATGTGGAAGACCCTGAAGAGGCTCTGGGCTCCTGGCTTCAGATTGGCTCAGTTCCAGCCGTTGTGGCCACTTGGAGAGTGAATCAGAAGACAGAAGATCTTCCTCTCTGTCTCTCCTCCTCTCTGTATATCTGACCGTCCAATAAAAATAAATATTTTTTAAGAAAGACCAATAAGGTAAGACATCATCAGAACTAAGCATCTAAGTCCTGGGGTTACTGCCAAAAACAAAAATTCAAAAGCAACTACATGTTACACCTTTTTATCTGTAGGAAAATTATGAGAAACTAAATACCTCTTCCTTGGGGTATTGAATAAATCACAAATTAGCAACCAGCAGCATTTGAATTGGCTAGCTATTTTAGTATGGCAATTATGATCTTGTGCTAAGTGAAATGAAGTGGGAGAAATGAGCAGTATACGCACACCATGATGATGGCTACACTAATGCCAACCTGTGGACAAAGGGTTGCAACAAACGTGTGAAATTTGTTAGACTCTTATTTTGTACATTCATCAAATTGTTCTGTGATTGTCAATGTTGATATCAAGGAATACTTCGTAACTAATTTTAGAGCCATCCATTCGGAAAAATTCTCTGACTGAAGAGAAAGGAGAGGATGAGGGTTATTTGTACACAGCGAGTCAAGGTTTTACAGCAGCATCTGCTGAGTTGTGGAAATAAACAGGAAGAGGTGAGGTTTCAGCAAGGCCTTTCTGGCGGACCTTGTAGGACACCTGCCACTTTGCTCTGGGCTGATCACCGACCTGGGATGACCACGGACCTCCAGTGGGATCACCACTTTCACTCAGATAGGATCTCTGGCCTAGGTGCTGAAATCACCAGAGCGGACAGTGTCAGCATGGTTATTTCGGTGACACTTTGTTTTGCAGGGCAAGAGACGACAGAAGGGCGGGGGGCTGTGCCAACTTTGAGCTTTGCCCTTCTATGGTGTATACTGCTCAGGATGGGATCAGAGCTGCCATGACCTAGATTCCCGATAAGCACAGGCAGGAAATGGGAAATTCGTGAGAATGTCAATCCCCACTTTAATTTTACCCAGGCTGCCTGGGAGGGGGTGGGAGGAATTAATTCGCTGAACCACACGCCTGCGTTAAAGGGTGCTCTTATTTATAATGGGTTTTATTGATGTCTCTGGCTTGCTGTCATTGAGTTGCCAGTGGAGGTCAGATCTTCAGCGCTCGGTGTAGGGAAGCTGCACAGCCGGGAGCGGTGGTGCCTCTTGGGCTAAGGCTCCAGAAGCTGACACCTGCCCAAAGTCTGCGAGGAAGAGAGGAGCCAGGTGGTGGTGGTGGAATAAGCTGTCAGTAACTGGGTCAGCATCCCCCTCAGGGGCTTCTTGCTGCACACCACAATACTTTGTTAGTTCCAGGGCTTTGCTGCTCACCACGGAAGGTCTTTGTTCACTCTGGACTTAACTCCACTACAACTTACACCTCAGGAGCTGCTTCGCTTCATTCTTTGTACCACTGAGGCACACCTATTGCCCTGCCCTGGGGATCAAGGCCTAGAGTTCGGTGAAGGGGAAGGCAGCAGAAACTGAATAGCCTTACATTCCCTGGAACATCTTACCCCTAAACTCAATCCTGTGACCTTGGACAAGGCACCTGGTTCCAGGGGATGCTCAGACAAATAGCAATATTGATTGGAGTTCTACCATCTCCTGTGGGTCTAATGGCAGACTAAAAACACCATAGCAGAGTTTTCTGTATATAACAAATGGCATGCTGTCCCTATACATGCTGGCTGCTGTTTCCTGGTTTGGGGTAATTTATTACATTTGGCATCCATGCCCAAAATTTACCTAACTGTGCTGGTTCTTCATCTATCCAGGTCAGCTTGAAGGTAAAGTATTTGGATGAGAAGTGCAGGATAAAATTTGGCATGTGTGTGGGTGCTAAATGGTTACAGAAATAGATATCATAGCTACAGTGGCAATGTTATTCTTCTATATACCAATGAATTTGAGTTTCTAGTTCAGAAGGCAAAAATCTCTCATTCATAACATAGCAGGAGACTGATTCCTTAGGTGGCTACAACTTTTTGCCCTACTGTCGTTTAGTATTAGTGGCCAACAGTTCTCCTGTCCTCTTCTTCTTCCTGTCCCTATCTATTCTACACTCAAACTCCAATATTTCCCAATAAGAGGATTTGACACATGTGCACCTTTTCACAGACTATTACTCTGTGTGGAAAGTTTCGCTGACTTCCCCCTCACTCCAGCCAATGCCTTCTCATAGACCCAGCTTGGATGCCTTTGTCTCTTAGCGTTCTCAATATTCCTAAGCTCCCCTGTATTCATATTTTGGGTGTATGGATACAATGAATTATCACTGCATGATCATATGTATGCACTTCAAAAAGCGCACAGAAAAATGAATTAGAAAGTACATTTATTTTCATGTAACAATGTTTGAAATTTTTATTATCTTTCATACTGGGCATTTTTCATGACCCTTTTTGAATCTATTTTATTTGTAAAACTTACTCGTTAGACACTTTGATCGAGGGCCATGTTGTATTTATGTTTGGATTCCTAGAATCTGACACAGTATGCTTACTGAGTGAATGAGTGAAAAAGTAAATCTGCATAAATGGCATCTCATGTAGACCAGGATTTTTGTTATTTTTTAAAGCTTTATTTATTTTTGTCAGAAAGACAAATTAACAGAGACAAGGTGAGACTAAGAGAAAGATCTCCCATTAGCAGGTTCACATCCCAAATGGCTGCAATGGCTAGAGCTGAGCTGCTTCAAAGCCAGGAGCTTCCTCTGGGCCTCTCATGTGGGTGTAGGGTTCCATGGATTTGGGTATTCCTCAGAACATAAGCAGGGATCTGGATGGGAAGTGGAGCAGCTGGGATATGAATTGGTGCCCATATGGGAT